TATCTGGTGGTGGTCTGAGTCTTCGTTTGGGTCTTGGTCTGGGTGGTATAATGCAACCTATTAGGTTGCATTATATGAGATTACATGGAAAAATCCCTATAAGAGGTTGCATTAATACTGGTTTTACATGGAAAAATCCCTATTAGTTGCATTATACTGGTTTACATGGGTAAAAAACCTATTAAGTTGCATTATACTGGTTTACATGGAAAAAAACCCTATTAGGTTTTATACTGGTTTACATGGAAAAAAACCCTATTAAGTTGCATTATACTGGTTTACATGTAAAAACCCTATTAAGTTGCATTATACTGGTTTACATGAAAAAAAATCCCCTATTAAGTTTGCATTATAGTGGTTTACATGGAAAAATCCTTATTAAGTTGCATAATACTGGTTTACACTGATGAAAAAAACCCTATTAAGTTGCATTATACTGGTTTACAAGGAAAAAAAACCCTATTAAGTTGCATTATACTGGATTACATGGAAAAATCCCTATTAAGTTGCATTGTACTGGTTTACATGGAAAAAACCCTATTAAGTTGCATTATACTGGTTTACATGGAAAAAACCCTATTAAGTTTCCATTATAACTGGTTTACATGTAAAAAAAAACCCTATTAAATTGCATTATACTGGTTCACATGAAAAAAAAACCTATTAAGGTGCATTATACTGGTTTACATGGAAAAATCCCTATTAAGTTGCATTATACTGGTTTACATGGAAAAAACCCTATTAAGTTGCATTATACTGGTTTACATGGAAAAAACCCTATTAAGTTGCATTATACTGGTTTACATGGAAAAATCCCTATTAAGTTGCATTATACTGGTTTACATGGAAAAATCCCCATTAAGTTGCATTATACTGGTTTACATGGAAAAATCCCTATTAAGTTGCCATTATACTGGTTTACATGAAAACAACCCTATTAAGTTTTATACATGTACAAATCCCTATTAAGTTGCTTTATACTGGTTTACATGTAAAAACCCCTATTAGTTACATTATAACTGGTTTACATGTAAAAACCCCTATTAAGTTCCATTATACTGGTTTACATGTAAAAACCCTATTAAGTTGCATTATACTGTTTACATGTAAAAAACCCTATTAAGTTGCATTATACAGGTTTACATGGAAAAATCCCTATTAAGTTGCATTATACTGGTTTACATGGAAAAATCCCTATGAAGTTGCATTATACTGGTTTACATGGAAAAATCCCTATTAAGTTGCATTATACTGGTTTACATGGAAAAATCCCTATTAAGTTGCATTATACTGGTTTACATGGAAAAATCCCTATTAAGTTGCATTATACTGGTTTACATGTAAAAATCCCTATTAAGTTGCATTATACTGGTTTACATGGAAAAATCCCCATTAAGTTGCATTATACTGGTTTACATGGAAAAATCCCTATTAAGTTGCATTATACTGGTTTACATGGAAAAATCCCTATTAAGTTGCATTAATACTGGTTTACATGGAAAAATCCCCATTAAGTTGCATTATACTGGTTTACATGAAAAAACCCTATTAAGTTGCATTATACTGGTTTACATGAAAAAATCCCTATTAAGTTGCATTGTACTGGTTTACATGAAAAATCCCTATTAAGTTGCATTATACTGGTTTACATGGAAAAAACCCTATAAGTTGCATTATACTGGTTTACATGGAAAAACCCCTATTAATTTGCATTATACTGGTTTACATGGAAAAATCCCTATTAAGTTGCATTATACTGGTTTACATGAAAAAAAACCCTATTAAGTTGCATTATACTGGTTTACATGAAAAAACCCTATTAAGTTGCATTATACTGGTTTACATGGAAAAATCCCTATTAAGTTGCATTATACTGGTTTACATGGAAAATCCCTATTAGGTTGCATGATTACACTGAAGTCCTTGAAACTGCTGAAGTCCTTGAAACTGCTGAAGTCCTTGAAACTGCTGAAGTCCTTGAAACTGTTGAAGTCCTTGAAACTCTTGAAATCTTGAAACTGCTGAAATCCTTGAAACTGTTGAATCCTTGAAACTGTTGAATCATTGAAACTGTAGAAATGTCTGAAAGAGCTGAAGTCCTATTAAAATGCATGGGCCTATTAAAATGCATTGCAGAATTCTCAATGCAGATTTTTGTCCGATTGCGGAAAAACCGGAAATCGCTGAAGTCCCAAAAGTAATAGCAATAATCTCCCAAACATGTGGAACGTTTTGATGTATAACTTGTGGAAATTGTTGAAAATGTGAAAGCTGTGAAACGTGTCAAAAAAATGACGGAATAAAGAAATACAAAACCAATGGTTGACTGCGGACGGTTTCCGCAGCTCAATCAATAATCACTGCTCTCCAGTTGTAGCACACCTAAACAGAACTAGTCTTTAACCTGCGATTTTAAACATTGTCAGAGAGGAGCCTGTCTCACATCATCAGGAAACTGTTCCCGATTTTAGCAATCAGGAATCTTAACAGCAAGCCCTCTCCCATGTTTAGTTCTGACTCTGGGAACTATCAGGGAGTCCCAGTCCCTGTGCTCCTCAGAGTCTCCACAGGAGTCCAGTCCCTGTGCTCCTCAGATCCCAGCAGGAGTCCAGTCCCTGTGCACCTCAGAGTCCAGCATAGAGTCCAGTCCCTGTGCTCCTCAGAGTCCCAGCATGAGTCCAGTCCAGTGCACCTCAGAAAGTCCGTCTGGTTCAAATAGGGACTAACATGTCCCAAAAAAATTATATGGACTAAATCTTAAGATAAGTCTGGGTGTAATATTTCTAAATGCTGGTAATAAGTATTTATAAGGTTTAACATAACTCCAGGTGCTGTGGCAAACAGTTGATCTTTTCTATAACCTCTAAAGGTTCACATTAATCCGGTACAAGAATACAAATGAGCAATATTTTCATGTAAACTTTAAGTAAACTCATACACACACGATCTGTAAATATATTTAGAATAAAAAAGCAGTAAAAGAGCATACAATTACATATTTACAACCGTTCATCCATGACTTGTCTCTCCTCTATTATAAAGGCTGAGCAAGATTCTGTCTCGGAAAATACAGTTGAGCTCCACAAAACGAGTCCAAGAATCCTTAAAACCAGTAAAATATCATATTCCGTTGCGCGCTCTGTGCTGCTTTCTGCTGTTCCCATCCGGACAAAAATAATGGTGCACAGCCTTTGGCGCATACTTCCGGTTGCCCCAAAACAAAAAATGAAAATCAAATCGACATAAAAGTATTATTCAATATTTTGTTTTTTCATTTTTTGCATCAAAACAAAAAATCAAATATCAAGCCAATTTTCCGTGTTTCCTTAACATTGAAACATTGTCAGAGAAGAAGCCTGTCTCACACTTTCAGAAAGATTGTTCCAGATTTTAGCTGCATGAATCTGAAATGCTGACTCTCCAAGTGTAGTTCTGATTCCGGGCACAAGCAGGAGTCCCATCCCTGTGATCCACAGAGTCCGAGCAGGAGTCCCATCCCTGTGATCCACAGAGTCCCAGCAGGAGTCCCATCCCTGTGATCCACAGAGTCCCAGCAGGAGTCCCATCCCTGTGATCCACAGAGTCCGAGCAGGAGTCGCATCCCTGTGATCCACAGAGTACGAGCTGGAGTCCCATCCCTGTGATCCACAGAGTCCGAGCTGGTTCATATGGCACTAACATGTCACTAATGTACACAAGCAGAGTGTACATTAGTGATATGTCAATTCTCTAATATGACTAATGTGATCATACTTCCTGGATCTAAGACTCGAGCTGCAGCATTTTGAATGTACTGCTTATTCTAGTAAGTAATGATTATTTATATAACGCATTTTACAGACAAAGGTCACCTAAAGCCCTTTACAATGTGCAGAAATCAGATATTATTAATAATATACTAGCGGTTATATGAAGTTGTATAGGATGTTGATGGAGGATACACGTGGTGCACAAGAACACATTTTGTTATGTACACTGTAAAAAAGCACAATTGCAAAAATATCCATGAAACAGTGAGGCCGTGTACAGTTAGGGCCTCACTAATAATTTTAAGAATGGAAAAGCAGCAGCCTTAACGCTGGTGACAGCCTCCTCATCAGGACAGTGTCAGCTCACTCATCTCCTCTCTAATAATTACCAATGTAAATGTCTGGCAGTGAATGAATACAGGACATGTGTAATGTGGTGCCATAGCTCAAAGTTTAGTCCAATTACGAGAGGCCCAGAGAGCGGGAGACGAATGGTGTGACAGTACCTCATTAGGGCATTAGGGCACTGTCTCTGATTGAGCTTATTACACTATGTCATCCTCACAAAGAGACGTCTGCTTCTGATCCAAACCTAATGGGCTGTTTGGCATGTTTACAAAGTTGTGACTCTGTGAGCAGCAAAAGTCACACAAAAAAGTCTGATAAGATGTATTTGTGGATAAGCATCTCAGCAGAGTGTGGGCTTTCAGGGACTGTCATTGTGACGAGAAATTAGGGTTGAAGGATCAATCAATGTCTAAATTAAATGGAAATTTGGACTGTAAGGTCTGCTTCCTCTCTGCCTATCTAACAACGTCTCGCATGAATGCAGAAAGCATGTTAATGTAACTATGTATAATTTGACAGCTCAGAAAGAATTTGGTCTCTTGCTAAAACACAGCTTACCTTCCACTGCCTCACTGTTTGATTGTGTGCCTTTCATCCTCTGTGTGTACAATCCAACAACATCACATATTATCACAGCGTGTGCAACATTCCAACTTCTGAGGGTCAGCCCAAACACGGCTCCACGGATTGTTATTCTGTTACTATGCAGATTATTATATATTTGTCTTAATAAATGCTTGTTAAAAATTACACATAGATTGCAGATAAAACCGTATTTTCTGTATTTCCCTGCGTTTTGATCATGGAGCCTTCTCAAGCCAGGGCGCCTGTCTTAGACAGGCCTCATGTGTGCCGCTCTTTCATTGGCCGTTTGAAAGCTCTCTCTTCCCGCTGCTCCACTTGTTAATGCTCAGATTCTGTAGCCAAACCAAAGGGGAGACAACCTGTGCCCGGCCCGCCTCTCTTGTAGCCGATCCACTTGAACTTCCTCAAAACACATCCATCAGGCCGCGTCTCTCCTCCGCTCTGCTGGGATCTGCCACAAAACGTTTGGTCTTCCTCCGTACAGAGCCTTCAACAGACATCAAGAGAAACGCACCATTGATTTTTTTCCCCCTTTTCTGTCTCTTTTGGCGTCTTATAAATGTGTGTACAGAGGCCTAGCAGGGGGTCCTACCGTAACTCAAAAAAAAAAATGAAGCGGTCAAAAAACAGATTGCTTCAGCGTGTGGGAAAGAGAGGAACGGCTCCAAAAAGTTTACTAACTTTGTCTTGCCCATTCTTTCTCCCCCAAACATTCTGTGAAGTCTGATTTAAAGGAAACGCTGGCATCTTGAGTGGAGACACCTGTTAACGCACTTTTCCGCTTCCTTTGGCTCTTTGATTTAAACCTGACTTCAGCTTGAGTGAAAAGTTCTGAGCAGCATCTCATCCGTGGCGTCCCTTTCTCTTGGCAAAGGTGAGAGGGATACACAGCCGAGAATGTGGATGTGCTTAGGTCAGAGTGTTTGTCTGTCATTTCTCTGGAATCTTGGGGAAAGTTTTGGTGAAATACTTCCTCTAGTTCCTAAAACTCATATAAATTTGACCTGAGCAAAGGAAAAAAGGTAATATACAAATACTTTGTAAAGTCATTATAGAATTATCCACAGACTGCATATCAGAGGTGTGACATCACCATAGTGTTAGCCCTAAAGTGATAGTCTGGAACTCTAAATTAATTACACATTTTAGGAATTGTTTTAAAATGACCTCCTGGCCTTAAATGTTATAATGTTTAACAATAATAAGTCATTCTACGAATTCTAATATTACGGGTAAGTCCCAAATACAGATTCGAAGCTGTATTACCTTTTTTAAATGATATATAAATTAAATTTAAATATATATATATATATATATAAAAAATAGTAAGTTCCCAAAGGTGTCGCCCTGACGTAGCTAGACCAAAACTCTCTGGAACTACATGAAAACTGAACAAAATTCTGAGCATCAGCAGTAAGTAAGCCAAATATAAACTTAACCTAAACCTATAATCAGATCCTCTGCAAATGTGTCCTAAAATGTTCTACTAAGGCTAATAGTTACTAACGGGTTTACCCCAATCGCTTTTTGGTGCATTAAAACAGTATTTTTGTCATGAAAACGTTAACAGATAATTCTGAAAACCTCTGTGCATGTGTGTTAAGAATGTATTCGTATAATGTATTCTCCGATGAACATTTTAGTTTGTTGATTGATGAATATTTGTGTTATTGAGCGTGGCTAGCTTCGATAGCTTCTCTGCAGAGACAGTAGTTGTGACGTAGCCCGTTGTGACAAAGTGTACAAACTACTTTCCACAGTAATCTTAGTATTCTACATACCTGAAGTACAAGAACAGAGTGCGTTGCCAAAGGGCAGCGGTCAGTATTGGTTTGAGAGGTCCGTTATTAAGAAATAATGATCGGTAGAACGTTTTCAAATTACATTCAAATCAATCGAGCGTTCTACTGCTGCTGTGGAGCTGTATAACAAATTATGATTAAATATTCGAATATTTCAATTAATAATGTCTCATCCGCACGTCTTGGACCTGGCGCGAGCACAGAAAAGTAGGCGTGGTTTCAAGACCAATCAGAAGGGAAGGGGGAGGGAGGAAGTCCAGACAATCCCTTTAACATGGTTTGAAAGAAGCTGATTAGAAATCATTTTGTTCCACTTTGTCCCCTTGTTGCCGATGCAGGAGGGTCGAGAAATTTATGCACATTTACTTAACATTTCTGGACAGTGGTCATCCCACTCACTATGGACCAATGGTGGAGAATGGTTGGTGAATCCACAACATTGTAAAGCCCTCCTAGACAACTGCTGCTGTGATTTAGGGTGATACACAAATTAATAAATTAAATTAATAGTCCAGCTGCTTATGATAGTATTACACGTTCTAAAATGAATTGGATTTCTACCGTGACGTTATCTTCTCTGCAGTGTTGTTAAAGCGGTTGACAAGGGAAGCTGGAGTTTCTCCTGTTAGGTTATTATTGTCCATCTGTACTATGGTCCCAAGTACCACGGTCAACAGAAGAATGAACACATTCTCAAGAAGTGCAAAAGCAAAACCTGGTCATGAACAATCCTTACAAGCCCTCTCTCTCTCTCTCAACTGTCAGTTCCACACACAGCAGAGCTCTGTCACAGACGCTAATGTTTACCATCGACAACATCCTATAGATCATTAGTGTTAGATTTCTCCACGTTCACACATGAACCGAAGCCGTGGCGTGTGGCTCGGGCTGCGATGGCGCTAATGCAGAGCTCACACTATTGGCTCCGACATATATGCAACATCACACCCAGGCCCAAACTGCTCCACCCCTGGCCCCAGGTCGCAGAGGGAACATCACACTTAGGCCTAATCCAAGGGCCCGCCCTTTCCCTGCCACCTGGAGCCAGGAGCGTCGGCTTCGTCGCCCTCAGTTTGGGAGGTTTAATGAGGCTGTGGAGAGGCTGCATGCTGGGGCTGGTGTTATCGCCCTGGCAGCGCTCTGAGCCAAAGCAGCCTCCATGACACTGGTCTGAGTGACACAAGGGAAGCCCCTCACTCATCAGAATCAGAATCAGAATCAGAATCATTTTTATTGCCAACGTAAGTAACGGGAGGTCACAGACTTGGAAATTGCTTTGGCTCAGTGCAACAGTCAAAAAGAGATAATAAAAATAAGAATAAAAAACACTTCTAAAGAATAAATTTAAATTTAAAATAGAGTTACAGTTACTATTTACAATATACAAGTGCACATGGTGCACACAATGTAAGGTGACAGCAGTACAGTGAAGTAAAGTGACGTATGATGGGCAGTAAAGTGACTTTATAAAGGGCGGGGGGACAGGTTAAGAAGTGTTCAAGAGTCCAACAGCAGAGGGGAAGAAACTGTTCTTGTGGCGGGAGGTTCTAGTCCTGATGGACCGCAGCCTCCTGCCTGAGGGGAGTGGTTGGAATAGTCCATGTGCAGGGTGAGAGGGGTCGGCTGTGATACGACCAGCCCGGCCTCGAGCTCGGGCGACGTACAGGTCCTGCAGCGATGGAAGGCTGCGGCCGATCACTTCCTCTGCAGAGCGCACAATGCGCTGTAGTCTCTGTTTGTCCCTGACTGTGGCTCCAGCGAACCACACGGTGATGGAGGAGGTGAGGATGGACTCGATGATGGCCGTGTAGAACTGCACCAACATCTGTGCAGGCAGCTTGGCTTTCCTGAGCTGCCGCAGGAAGTACATCCTCTGCTGGGCCTTCTTGATGAGGGAGCTGATGGTCGGCTCCCACTTGAGGTCCTGGGTGATGGTGGTGCCCAGGAAACGGAAGGACTCCACAGAGGTGATGGGGGAGTCCATCACGGAGGGTGGGGGCGGGGGGACAGTGCTCTTCCTGAAGTCCACAATCATCTCCACTGTCTTCTGGGCGTTCAGCTCCAGGTTGTTACCACTGCACCAGGACACCAGCCGGTCCACCTCCCTCCTGTAGGCGGACTCATCGTTGTTGGAGATGAGTCCAATGAGGGTGGTGTCGTCCGCGAACTTGATCAGCTTCACGGAGTCGTGGCTGGAGGTGCAGTGGTTGGTGTACAGGGAGAAGAGCAGGGGAGAAAGAACACAGCCCTGTGGGGCTCCTGTATTTATAATCCAAGGGTCCGAGACATTCTTCCCCAGACGCACTCGCTGCTTCCTGTCCGTCAGGAAGTCAGTGATCCACCTGCAGGTGGAATCGGGCACGTTGAGCTGGGAGAGCTTGTCCTGGAGCAGGGATGGCAGGATTGTGTTGAAGGCAGAGCTGAAGTCCACGAACAGGACCCTGGCGTAGGTCCCCGGGGAGTCCAGGTGCTGTAGGATGTGGTGGAGGGCCAGGTTAATGGCGTCGTCTACAGATCTGTTGGCTCTGTAGGCGAACTGCAGGGGGTCCAGGAGGGGGGAGGTGAAGGACTTGAGATGGGAGAGAACCAGGCGTTCAAATGACTTCATGACGACAGACGTAAGTGCTACAGGTCTGTAGTCATTGAGTCCTGTGATCCTGGGCTTCTTCGGGACGGGGACAATGATGGAGGATTTGAAGCAGGCCGGGACATGGCAGGACTGCAGAGAGGAGTTGAAAATGTCCGTGAACACAGGAGTAAGCTCACTGGCGCAGTGTCTCAGAGTGGCCGGAGACACGTGGTCCGGGCCAGGAGCTTTGCGGGGGTGCAGCCTCAGGAAGAGTTGTTTAATCTCTTTAGCGGCTATTGTTAGGCTGGGGGCAGGGCTGATGGGTGGGTCGTTAGAGTAGTTAGAGTAGTGGGGGGTGGGGGAGGGAGAGGTGTCAGGGGCAGCATCAAAGCGACTGAAAAATAAGTTCAGATCGTCAGCTAGCTTGTGGTCATCAGCACAGGGGGGGGCTTTGGGTTTGTAGTTGGTGATCTCCCGTAGGCCCCTCCAGACAGAAGCAGTATCGTTGTTACCAAACTGCTCCTGTAGTCGTTCTCTGTGCCGGGACTTGGCTGCTTTCAGTTCTTTCCTGAACTGATATTTAGCTGCTTTGTAGCCGCTGCGGTCCCCCTCCCTGAAAGCAGACTCCTTTGCTTTCCTGAGCTGCCGGAGTTTAGCAGTGAACCAGGGTTTGTCGTTGTTATAGATGACCCTGGTCCTTGTTGGAATGATGCTATCCTCACAGAAGTGGATGTATGACGTCACAGTGTCCGTATATTCATCCAAGCTGTCTGTGGCAGCTCTGAAAAGGTCCCAGTCTGTAGATTCCATGCATCTCATGGTATGCACCGGGGCGGGATGTGACAGGTGCTGCCTACAGGTGAGAGCTGATAGATGTTAAGGAGCAGAACGTGTCACTTGTTTTCGCTGCTTGTGAAGGTTCTTTTTACAGAACACATGGCTTGGTCGGAAAGGGCGTTTTCAGAAGTTTTTAATTAAAAACTCTCAGTAGAAAAAACAGTGGGAAATTACAAAACACGTATTTACAGAGCACAGTGAAAAGTCTTCAGGCGAAAAGGATATTTACAAATAAAAATATACACGACTTCTGCAATAAGTCTCTTTTCCCTATACTGTAACACTTGCTCTTGCAGTCCACGTTACCTTCACTGTAACCGAGTCACGACTGCCATGGGGCAGACAAGCACACCTTATGTACCCTGCCGGCCCCTCCCACGTTACAAAACCAATCATCCTAATAACAAACCATATCTACAATACATGGCGCTTTCCTTAGGTTCATGATTTCACATTACAATTCTACATTGACACATATACAATGAAATAAATTATGAGCACACTACGAAGAGTCCAAATGTCCATGCAAATGAGCTGTGGTCACATGACCCACAGACAGGTGCATTTAATCCTATGGCTCCTTGTGTCCGGGTTTGCCAAAACGCACCATGGAGACGCCACGACCACGCCAGCACAGGCGAGTGAATGACATGTTTAACACACCATGCAACGCTTCCAAGTGTGCACCCTGAAGACGCGTTCACGCACGCTACATGTCACAAACACAGTTCCTAGCAGTAGTCAATGAATGGGCTTGGCCGTTGCGCGCAGCCACCATGGCACCGGGCGCACGCATCTTCACATGCGCTCCGAGGGACAGCGTGCTCAGGGACGGGCTCACCCCGTCACACTGCTCATAGAAGTTAAAGCAAAGACAAGTTTATGATGTAGAGTGTGATAATCTGGATGATGTGAAAACACCTCTATGGGAAAACTAAACAGGGCAGGGCCTGTTGAATTTGGCGTAAAAAATAAAGCTAACAAAAATAGCATGTTTATCCAGAGGTATAACCCACTGAGGACAGAGGAATCCAAACAACTGGGACACTACATCTGCTGACTCTGACGACAGAGACAGACAGATAAAGAAGCAGAGACAGGGACAGAGTCAGTGACAAGGACAGAGAGAGACTAGGAGGTCGTTTTCACAAGGACGCTGCGAAAGTAATACATTATAAATTGGCCTTTCGTTTAAACAAAGATGGTGTTGGGAGGGGGGGATGCAAGCGTTGGGAATCATCCTCCTCCGCGGCACGCAGCGTCTGAATTCTCTGGTTGCAATTCTGGGGCGGCACGGTGGCTGAATGGGTAGCACTGTCGCTTCTCAGCAAGAAGGTGGTTCTCCCCATGTCTGCGTAGGTTTCCACCGGGTACCACTAAAAACATGTACAATAGTTTAGGATGAATGAGTGTATGTTTGTGAGTGCGAATGTGGGACAACGGATGCAAATTAGCCCGTGGCAACAATCTGGAGTGATGTGTTCATTAACATGTACTGTCCCAACCAAATAAACCAGTGGTTCTCAAAGTGCACTACTAGTGGTACGCCAAAGAATCACTGTAATAAATATTATTATTTATTCATTTTTTCTACCAGGAAAGCCCCATTAAGATTAAGAACCTCTTTTTCAAGGGAGTCCTGGACAAAAATTACATACAATTACAGATTATAAAACAGTCACATGCAATTTCATAAAATTACGGATTATAAAAACAGTTACATTTCAATAAGGACGTCTCAGTCTCTCAATCTGGATCTAAAAGCATTCCATGAAATAAGTTCAGATAATTTCCAGTCTTTTTGCAACACGTTCCATGCAGAAGGAGCAGCATTTACAAAAGCTTTTTTTCCCAGTTCTGTGCAAAAGGAACATAGAGCAACAAAAGATAATTTGATCCAAACCATATGAACATGTCTCTGAGTAAATGGCAGATGTAAGAGGGCAGCAGACCAAGCCTTAGAAACTAAAGTGCACCAGTGTCCAAACCTTCTGTGGACAAAGATCCCACTCCAGAATATCATTCACACTGAGTCAAGGCTTTGCAGTTCGTAATGAATTGAACATTTTAATTGAATCTTTATTTTAGTACAGTTTTTAGTTTTTCCCCCCTATATTTAAGTCTTACTGTTGAAACTGTGTAAAATGCTACAATGGCTGACAATATTAAATATACTTCTTTAGGAATGAAACCCCTGCCTTGTTTTTGATGAATACTTAGGCTTACTACGCTACTGTATAGTGTTGGTCATTTGTGGTGGTACTTGGAGAGGCAAGTATTTGCTGAGGTGGTACTTGGAATAAAAAGTTTGAGAACCACTGAAATAAACAATAAATAAATGAAATTACCTCACCACTTCACTGAATGCACAGTAGCCAAGAGCAAATGTAAACAAGCATCAACTAATGCTACGTATTCTTTGAAAGTTACACGGAGGAGCAATTATAATCTGTCTAAACGAAACCATGCGAAGCTCAAGTTCCATTTTCCATTTCCTGCTACTGCTAAGGCCCCAACTCCACCGGGTGCGTAAAACGGACAACGGATCCGTCCAAACATGTCCGTTTCATCTCCGTCTCCGTTATCACCCTCTATCTGAGGGTGAATGGAAGTGGCTCCACTGCCTCCGCATGCGTCCGACGTGCGTCCGACGGACGCACGTCGGACGTATGAACGAAACAGAAATAATCCTATTTGTTCCGTCGACGCGTGTCGGGTCCGTTTTCCATTGAAAATACAATGGAATAATATATTTACAACATTATTAAGCATGTATTGATATATGCTGTGGTCCTTGGTTAGAAATATTTGTTAAAGGGGACATATCATGAAAAATCCACTTTTTGTGTCTTAAATGCCTTATGTTGTGTAGTTGGAGCCTCTAGAAGTGCAAAAAAGTTGAAATCAGTCTCTTCATGGGTTGCAGAGAACACTTCATATTCTGTTTGGTTAAGATTTTTCAACCCGTTCTGATTTTGCCGTTCTCTATTACGTGTTTAGAATTATTACGTCACAGTATTTGCAGCGAGACTGCCATATAAGGGCATGGGCGTCTAACAAAACACTTCGGCCCAGCCCTCCTCTACTGTGCATCACTTAATTTGTAGTCCAAGCTCAAGGATGCCAGCGAACAGGGCTGGACTGGCCATCGGGCGTACCGGGAAATGCCCAAAGGGCCGATGCCCATATTTGGGCCAGTCTGTCTGCCTCATACAAAACACATGTTTATGAGAAGTGTAAATCCGTTGAGAATTGTTGGAGCGGGGCGCGCGTATCCGCGGGGCACCTGCTGTATGTACTCGAACAGGATTCCACCACCTCAGCGGCCGCAGTGTTCCGGGGCATCTGCGGCCGCTTTGTAATGAGCAGCTTCCGCGTCCAGCGGCGGCGAGAGGCTGTGAGCGTCCAGCGGCTGTGAGAGGCTGTGAGCGTCCAGCGGCTGCGAGAGGCTGTGAGCGTCCAGCGGCTGCGAGAGGCTGTGAGCGTCCAGCGGCGGCGAGAGGCTGTGAGCGTCCAGCGGCTGTGAGTCCAGCCGCTCGCAGCCGCTCCACCGTGTTGTGGCTGAGCGCGCAGCCTCATCGTGGCCATGTACCCAACCCCATAAACGCGCACAGGACCATGCGTGTCTTTGAGTAATCTGTGCACCCAATAAATACACTGCTGCAGGAAACAGTCCGCGTCTCCCCTCTCCTCTCGAAGCGCGATTAAACGCCCTAAATAAAGCTCTGAGACTGTACCTACATTTTGCATTGCATTAAAAACTCATGTTTGAGCCCAAAAGTAATA